TCGAGGGCACCACAGCCCTGCTGCCCCAGCCGTGGTGCCCATGTCCCAAAGGTTTGAGGGCACCACAGCCCTGCTGCCCCAGCCGTGGTGCCCATGTCCCAAAGGTTTGAGGGCACCACAGCCCTGCCGCCCCAGCCGTGGTGCCCATGTCCCAAAGGCTGCAGGGACGGGCAGGCGGGTGCCATGCAGGGATCGGGGGATATTTAGGCAGGGCATGAGATAAGGACAAAGCAACAGAGGGACAGGGTGACACGGCAGGGGCAGGGACATGTAGGGAGGGGGTGACAGGCAGGGACAGCGTGACATGTCACAGGTGACCTGTAGGGACACGCTGACACAGGGAGGGTGAGGTGACAGGTAGGGACAGAGTGACATGTGGGGGCACAGTGCCAGGTAGGGCAGGGTGCCAGGTTGGGCAGGGTGACACACGAGGATGGTCCCTCGCCCGCAGGTGTCACCACGGGACCAGAGTGTTCTGCTGATGGCTGGTGGCCTGGGGTGACCCTTAGGGCTGTCCCTTGGGGCTGTCCTGGGGTGCTGGGGCTGAGGGGACACTGAACCTTCCTTGTGCCCCTCCTGGGCCAGCCCTGGGGTGCCCCACAGCAGCTCCCAAACCAGCCAGGGCAGAGCCCTGAGCCCCCTCTGCCCCCACCCTTTGCTCCATGGTGGGGTACGGTGTGTATGGGGGAACTGGTGTGTATGGGGCAACTGGTGTGTATRGGGGGGACATGGTGTTGGGGGGGGATATGGTGTGTATGGGGGAACTGGTGTGTATGGGGGATATGGTGTGTATGGGGGGGAYATGGTGTTGGGGGGGATATGGTGCCTATGGGGGAGTTATGGTGTGTATGGGGGAGTTATGGTGTGTAGGATGGGATGGGATGGGATGGAAAGGGGCTACAGCCACCTGAGCCCCCTTCCCATGCTCCTGTGGAAACAGCTGAGCTCTGCTCCAGAGAGATGATCCACATGATAAAAAAAAATGTTGGAAAATGCCAAACGAGCCAACTCTCAGCTCTTGCAGGTGGGGGGAGCCGGGGGGAGCCGGGGGGGCTGTGGCCCCATGCACCCCCTGCCACTGGGACACTCGACACCCTCGGCTGGCAGCAGGGCTGCCATGAGACCTTGGGATGCCCTTCCCACGGGTCTCTCAGCATTCCCTGGCTGCCTGGCCCAGGCAGCGGCTGC